ATCTTCCTTTGAAGAAGGGTAGCAGATTAAGCTTCAGATGAACAGCTTTCTCCTAGAATATTCCAGAGATTTTTTAAGCCTTATCTTAAAAATATCTTTGTCAAGTTAATTTTTTATTTAGGATTTAATCCTCTAGCTAGTAGAGAACTTTGTTGTACTATTTTGGCTTGCACTAAGTTTTGCTGTGTGGGCCTAGAATATAGTTAAATTATTGCAGTGATAAGTGAAAAATAAAAAATACTTAATTTTCCTTAAGGAAATAGAGTAAGATATGTAATGAGTAACCTCAGCCACACCTTATCATATTGCAAAGGTCAGGAGTTATCTAAGGAATGGTAACAGATCTTGTGGAAAACCCCAGTAACTCACTGCACACTTATGAAGGGCATTTGAATGTTACTCTGGCTGTCTGAAATACGTTACTCTGGCTATTGGAAGTGTTATGTTACCCTGACATTCATCCTCTTGATATAGAGAAATATGTTTCTCGATATATAAACCTAAATCTGAAATATCAGCTTTTTAAATGGACTTGGCTTATTAGAGTTATTGGAAATATTATCTAAATTAAAAGAGTGAATTTTACTGAAGCTGAGTGCAAAATGTTTCCTGATGTCAAAAAATCTATGCACTGGAGACCATCACCATGGCCAGGCATCCCATTTAAATTCAGGCTTGAGATGTGCTGTTGATGTGCCTTTCTTCATTCATGTTTTCTACTGCTCTTGAATTGCTTCCATTTCCTGCCTTCACCTAATACATGATTATTTACTTTGCCTTATCTGATGACTATTGGACTCCTGATGGGATCTGCCAGCATCACCAAACTCTCCCTGCCCAGGGACCCTGTTTAAACCCAGTGGGACTTTATGCTGCCACTGAGAGCACTGATTGTTCTGGGGTCATGCTTGATTCACAGCTCTCTATCCTCAAAAGTAACCTGGCACATGTTGTTTCATGGCATTGAAAGTCATAACCAGCAGAAATATCCCAGTTCTGCACCAAAATAATTTCTCAAATGAAATCCTGACAGACCAGCAACTACCAGTAATATGCTGCTGTTCTGATGTATCAAAATTTCTAAGTGTTGCTGTCTGACTTCTGACTAATGCAGGCTTCGTCATCATGAAGGGTTTTATGAAACTTCTTGAGTGAACATGATGATCACTGAATGTTACTTATATTTTGTTACTACCCCCTTTCTGTTGTTGCCAGACCATGAGTTGTCAAGTAAAAACATCAGAGATATTTCTTACCTGTCTATTGGCTAGAATGTACCAACTTTTGAGATGATAATACATCCTTAGCAGGGCAATTATCAGTATTAAATTATTAATCGACTCCCTATCCTTTCCTAATACACACTGAAATGACAGTGCCACTCTTAAAAATTACTTCCACATCAGAATTCCTTGAAAATATACCCAACAGCGTTCTTTGATTATGCTATAAATTCGAGAAGAGAACGTCACCTCTAAGTAAAGATGCTATTCACAGACATAGCATACAATGTAAAACAGAGGCATGCTGGTGAAATGAGTAAAAGTATTAAAGCAACTAAACTGACTGAGTAATGCCTTCACAGCATAGTCCATAATGTGCTTTCTCCTCTCCCATCTTAAGCATCCCAGATGTGCTGTGGAGGTGGTATTGTACTTACTGTATGCCTGCTACACTTCTGCTTTCCTTTGTCTAACCTCAAGTAAGATAATAAAAGCCTGTCATAGCAGGGCTACCTTTCACCCAGTTCTTCTCTTTTGAATCAGCTGTCAGGTTAACTGAGTCACATCTGAAGAGGTAGGAGGTAATGATCTTAGAACAGCAAAAATAAGACACATTGGAAGACCAGTACATTCCAAAAGGAAAAGGAGCATGTAATAGGGAAAGCCTGCAGGTCATACTTCTCAGAAACAAAAGGTTGGAGTAGACTCCACTCCCAGACTGAGCAGAATAAGGTTAACACTCTTATAAAGACAATCAGTGTGGGCTTACAAAAGGAGTATCATGCTTCATAGATCTGATATCCCCTCCACAGGAGGGAAAAGTCAGGGAAGCTACTGACATAATTAACCAAGACCAGGGGAAAGGTTTTCATACATGGATATACAAAAGACTTAACCAAGAAACTGAAATGTAAAGTAGACCGACAACTTAAGTGGGTAAGGAAGTAGTTGCAAATGTAGAGACTGAACTGTGCAAGGCAGGATTGCTAAGCTTAGAAATGAATTATAGTGTGTATGAGTCTATGAGGCCCAATGACATACATTCCAGGATTCTAAAGGAAGCGGCCAACATAGTTGCCAAGCCACTCTCCATCATATTCAGATATTCATGGCTGTCAGGCAATGTTCCCAGTGACAGGAAAAAGGGAAACATCACTCACAGTTTTAAGAAACGTAGAAAGGAAGACCAAGGGAACTACAGGCTGATCCTCCTGGAAGCTCTGTTAAAGCACATGCATGATGAGGAACCAATCTGTGACAGCCAGCACAGCTTTACCAATGGCATATTGTGCCTGACCAATATAGTGGTGGCTTCCTACCGTGGATATTAGTAAGACTAAGGAAGAGCAACTGATGTCATCTACCTGGACTTGTGAAGGCCTTTGTCACGGTCCCACATCATGTCTTTATCTTCACCATTTGGATTCAAACAGTGGATTGTTCAGTGGATAATGAATTAGTTGGATGGTTTGTAGTCAGTGACAATGCAAGAGGAGGCTGGTCATGAGTGGTGTTCCCCAGGGGTCCATCTTTGGACCAGTGCTTTTCACACCTTTATACATTACCTAGATAGCAGGATTGAGTGTACCCTCAGCAAGTTTGCTGATGATACAACACTGAGTGGTGCAGTTTATACAATAGAAGGGTAGCTAGCAGGATGAGAGAAGTGACTGTTCTCCTACGTTCTGCCCATATGAGGCACCACGTAGAGTACTCTGTCCAGGTCTGGGGGCTTCCAGCACAAGACAGACATGAAGCCATTGAAGAAGGTCCAGATGAGGGCCACGAAGATGATGAGAAGGCAGGAGCACCTCTCCTACTAAGCAAGGCTGAGGGAGCTGGGCTTGCTTAGTCTGAAGAAGGAAAGCCTCTGGAGACACCTCACTGCAGCCTTCCATTACTTGAAAGTAGTTTATGAACAGGAAGGAGACTGACTTTTTACAAGGGCAGATAGTGATAGGGCAAGGGTGAAAGGTTTTAAACTAAAAAAAAGAAGGTTTAGATTAGTTACTGGAAGGAAGTTCTTGACTCAGAAAGTGGTGAGGCAATGGCACAGTCTGCCCAGAGAAGCTGTGGATGCCTCATCCCTGGAGACATTCAAGGCCAGGTTGCATGAGGCTCTGCACAACCTGATCTGCTGGGTGGTGTCCTGTGCAATGCACAGGAACTAGATAGTCTTCAAGATCCCTAGTCTTTCTGTGATTCTGTGATAGCCTTCTAGCCTTCATGTGGAGGCCTATCAAGCTGTAGGGCGTTGGCTGGGGTGCAACTGCTGCTTGGGGATTGCTGGTCTTTGGTTGGCAGGTGTGAGATGTGGCTAGTGGGGCATGAGTTGGTGAGTAGTTGTATTGTTAGCTGGGACAATGAATATTTTATAATATTCTAACATGAGTAATAGGCAAATAAGAGGGAGAGATGATCCACATATTTTGCTGCAAGGTTTTGCAAGAGGTGTTCTTTTCCTTATGTAGAGAGCTTGGATCTTGCTAGTCAGTCCAATGAGCAAAGGTGCCACCTTTCTCCATTCTGGGCAGATAATGTCACTTCTTACTGTAATGCTCTGTGTTGGAAGGACTTGCTGCCCCAACACTGGCGAGAAGAAGGAGAGGTCTACTTGTTTCGAGCAGTAGCTGTTAAATCAGAATTTGTTTGGCTGAGTTATGTTTAGGATGCAGCAAAAGGGATCAGAAAGAGCATAATGGAAAGCTGGTATTTATGTCTTAGAGATAAACCAGTTTTCATCATTTTTTACCTTTAAAAATTAAAAAGTTTCACCTTAAAAATTAAGGCTTTCCAGCAAGGAAGCTAAAATTTAATGTAGGAAAAATATCAGTGCAAGAGTGACATGTGTTATTGTTCATATGTGATACATATTTGATTTGATATTGTTCATATATGTGATACATATTTGTATCACATGTAGCACTGTTAGGCAGTGGAGACCCGAATCTACTGTGTCATGCAGATCCGACTCCCCGTTGCTATCACAACAACCAGCCCAATGCAACTTTAACGGTACATATGCTTTTGGATCGCTGCCTGGAATGCTTTTCTGTGCCTGCTTGGTGTCCCACAGCTGTGCTGTGGCCTGGAGATTTGTTTATCGGTTAAAAGTGAAGCACTGCTAGAAGTTTCAGCACACCAAGAATGTGCTTGAGTTTGCAGCCATTTCCTGCAATCTGGCTGGCCTGCCGTTGTTCCCGCTTCCAGGAAGGGTGGTCCTGGGCTAGAGGCGCTGGGTGGACATTAGTTCCTGATTTCAGACTAGTGCAGCCCAATCTTTTGCTGTATTCCTTGCCCAAATGTACAAACTGAAAGATTTCACGTGACAAGAGAGTGCGCATTTCATGCGTGACTCGTCCTCTCCTGGCTCTGCTCTCTGTGGATCTTGTGCCTGGCCAAGGGTCTGAAGGGCTGCTTCTTCCGTTCCTTTTGTGCATTAAGGTACAAAGATCTTATTTTTCTGAAAGATCGGCTGAACAAGAGTTTCCTTTAATAAAACGTACTTATTTACGTTCTGGTTTAGAATCTACCCTCCTGCTGAGACGCTCGATCGCAACACTGGTAATTCCGCACCCCACGCCTGCTGGTGACTTCCAGCAGTCAAACAACCGACCGGCCTCGCTGCGGGCGCTGCAAGGCCAACGGGGGCGGCTGGCTGGCGCCGCGGCACCGCGCGTTCGCGGGGCGGGGCGCAAGGCGGCGGTGACGCGCGGCTCGGGGAGGCGTTGCTCTCGCGAGAGCGCGGCAGCGCGCGGCCAGCGGCGGCCGCTCCCCATAAAAAGAGGGACGCGGCCTGGCCTCCATACTGTGCGGCGGCGCTCGAGCTTCGAGGCGGCGGTGGCTGTGACGGCGCGTTTCTTCTCCGGGTGAGTACCGCCCGGTTCTCATCGGCCGTCCGGGGCTGCGGGAGCCCTCGGCGACCTCGAGGCCGGTTCCGCAACATGGCTGAGCTCGGTGGCCGCCTGCCTGCCGGCCTCGCCGGGGGCTGCGGCTTCCCGCTTCGCGGGGCCGCCCCCCTGCCTCCGTCATCGCATCGGCCGCTCTGCTGCCCCCGCGGGCGGCGGGTGCCCGTCCGCTGCTGGCTGCGTCCTGCCTGCTCGGTGAGGGCGACCCGGACCTGCTGCTGTGGAGATGTGCGGGTCCCGGGCTTGCCGGGTGTGTCTCTGCAGATTTAGTTCAACCTCTCTGCATTCATTCTGCACGTTATAGCGAGGCAGCTTGTGAACAGTGTGAGCCTCTATTGGTGTAACTTGAGTGAGAACTGTACTGACGTTATTGGTGCTTTTTGCAGTCGTCCAAGTGTTCTCAAGATCTGGGCCACAGTGATGGCTCACGTTTCAAGCTTGACTCAATTACGCTAACTGGAGTGAGTAATGAGTAAAACTACTCATGGCAGATTCTTCATCCCTCCTTCAGGCATCCTAAATTACAGGTTTAGTGAACTGTTAGCTTAAGAACAACTGTGTGGCTTTTCTTCCTAACTGGTTCTACAGTTAGGACCAATTATGTGCATTTCTCTAGAAAAATAAATGAATCCATGTGTCATAATTTTTTTTTGTAATTCTCTGGTGAACTGCTGTACTTAAGTTGCTGTTTCTTGTGTGTCATAAAATCACAGATTTGTCAGGGCTGGAAAAGGCCTCAAAGATCATCCAGTCCAACCATCCACCTATGACCTATAATTCCCCACTCTGCCATGCCCCTTAGTAGAACATCTAAGTTCTTGAATGCCTCTAGGGACAGTGATTTGACCACATCCCTGGGAAGCCCATTCCAGGGTCTGGCTACTCTTCTTGAGAAGAAATGCTATGAATGTCCAACCTGAACCCCTGTGGTGCAACTTGTGCCCATTCCTTCTAGTCCTACTGCTAGTTACACAGGAGAAAAGGCTGACTCCCTCCTTGCCACAACCTTCTTTCATGTATTATGTAGAGAGCTACAAGATCTTCCCTGAGCCACCTCTTCTCCAGACTAAACGTTCCCAGTTCTCTCAGCTGTTCCCCATAAGACTTGTTCTCCAGACCCTTCCCCAGCTTCATTACCTTTCTTTGGGCGTGCTTCGTGGCTGCAGTATCTTTCGTGTAGTGAGGGGTCCCAAACAGCATGGTACTTGAGGTGCAGTCTCATGAGAGCTGACAGGGGAATGATCACTTCACTGCTTCTGCTGGCAGCACTGTTTCTGATACGCGCCAGGGTGCCATTGGCCTTTTTGGCTATCTGGGCACACTACTGGCTGTCTTGTTTCAACCATCAGAAACAAGAAGATTCATGATATGTATATCCAACATGAAATTAAGACTCAAAATGAAGTCAAATATTTGCCCAACCAGTTTGTTATTAAATTCTTGGTTATTTAAGCCTGGGAATGGGAAGAAGGATGAAGAAAGTGATAGTAAAAAGGTCACAAATAAAAGCAAGGGCTCATCATATGAATGCAGCGATAACTCCCACCAGTGTTGCGATGTTCCGTGATTCTGGGAACATACAATATAGGAAAAAGAAGTTTTTGTTTTTGTGGAATCCTTATGTATACTGTATAGTCTGGTGCAGGCTTATCAACATCAGATAAGCCAAGGGCTCCACACAAGGCTGTGCCTCCACATCTTGGGCGTAGTCTGGAATGTGACTGGTTTGAAGACATTCCCTTTATCTTCCTTGTTCCTGACACCCTGGTGTAGGCAGAGATACCTCCAGTTGTCCTTGCATTCCACAGTAATCTTTGAGACAAAAGCTTTTTGTGTGGCGTCTCACACTGGCTCATGTTTTGCCATGCGTCCACCAACACCGTGGGTCCATTTCTTCCATACAGTCCTCCAGTGACTCTGCACCAAGCCTGTGTCTTACTTGTATTGCCTAACCCGAAGAAAGCACTTAAGAAACAAAGGTTTTTGAACTTCAAAGTGATACAGTAAAACATAGCTCTTGCTTGCAAGAAAGTTCACATCTTTAATCCTCTTTATCTTTGGGATTGATTACAAAGGAATTTTGTCAGTTTGAAAGCCTGGTGTTTAGATAAAGTTGCTTATGAGGATATGCTAACTCTGATATGCTCCTGTCATAGGCTCTGTAAGATTCAAGACCTGAAAAAATGGCATTAGCAGCAATTGATCCACAACAGGTAAGTTCAAGTTAGCCCAGTAGTTTGTTTGTTTGTTTGTTTTTAACTGTCGAGCTTAGAAAAATGAGTAAACTAGCTTCTTTCTTTTTAAACAGAACATTGTATCGAGGGTAGCAAACCTTCCTTTGGTGAGCTCCACTTACGATATGGTGTCTACAGCCTACATAACCACAAAGGATAACCATCCCTATTTGAAGTCAGTATGTGAGATAGCAGAGAAAGGAGTGAAGACAATTACTTCAGTAGCCATGACTAGTGCTATGCCTATCATCCAGAAACTGGAACCACAGAGTAAGGCTAATATGGGGTTGCTGATAACTTTAATTCAGCTGATTGGTTTTTTTTTTATATCCAGATGTGCTTACAATTAAACATGGTAGTGCTGGTTTGGTGCTGACTGAACCTGTTGCATTGCTTGTTGAGTAACTGATGTAACTGATTACATGATGGGTATGATTTCGGGAGGGGGAATTCCAAATGCTAAGCAAATTCAAGCTTTTGTAACACTGAACTGACTGGCTCCTCTTAAGTTGCAGGGTGGTTAAGTAGTCTCTTGCTCAACACCTTCCTCACCTTTCACCTGTTTTCAAGTTCTACTTTGTACTTTCTCTCAAGAGAACGACTTGTGACACAGTTGCCAAATTTAAACACAAGACTTTTGCAACCAGTTTCCTAATTCTGGCAGAAGCCTCAGCTTGTTACAACAGCTGCTTGTAAGGTCTAAGAAAAGACTGTGTCAGCTAGTGAGCTTGCTTAGGGCGTGATAAAAGCTGTCTTCTTTTTGAGGCTTAGTTGCCTCAAATCTCAATGAGAAGGGGGGAGAAGCTTTTTTGTGTGTGCTGTTGTGTTGAGCGCCATTCTAAGAAGTATCAGCTGGAATTAAGACAAACACATCTTAAATCAATCATTGTTTTTTTTTTCTATAGTTGTGGTTGCCAACAACTATGCTTGTATAGGTCTTGATAAAATTGAAGAGAGACTTCCTATACTGAATCAACCCACTGATAAGGTAAGTCCTTTCCATGTACATATATTAAGCAGAAGAGCATGTATACTGATTGTAGTTTCTGCTATCTCTAAAAATGCGAGGAGGAGAGTTTCTATAAACCACACTTGCTTCACAGATTAGAAGCCATGAGGAGATAAAGGATGTTTCTATAGAACACCTTCTTGCTTTTTGAAGGTCACTGAGCCCTGTTTTTATTTTTTTCTTTTCCTTAAAAGAAGTTAGCCCACTATTTAACATAGGTGTAGCTACTCTTCACTGGTGGACATCTATTTTTTTTAAGTATCTTTTTCCTGTGCAGTATGAAGAGGATGTGTGATTTATGTTACTGTTAGTTTTAGTATAATTGTTTCTAGGGTTATGTAGCTCTCCCTAGCAAATTTTATTTATTTCTGTGAACTAACATATTTTCTTTGGCAGGTTGTTGCCAATGCTAAGGGTGTAGTTGTTGGAGCCAGAGAAGCTGTAACAACCACCATGACTGGTGCCAAGGAAACTGTTGCTCACAAAATCACTGGAGTTGTGGGCAAGACTAAAGAAGCAGTGCAAGACAGTGTAGAAATGACTAAGTCTGTTGTCAATGGTGGCATCAACACTGTCTTGGGAAGTCGTGTGGTGCAAATGATGAGCAGTGGAATGGACAGTGCTCTCACTAAATCAGAGACCCTTGTAGACCAGTATCTCCCACTAACAGAAGCAGAACTAGGTAAGACCATTTCAAGATTTAATTTTGTTAGTATACTTATACTGGAGAAACAGTAAGCAATCATCTGCTTACTAGTTGTTTGTAATGGAGATGGGGCATGTGCTTCCCAAACTGCCTTGTTGATAGATAGTCAAGTAGAATGGATGTTAGGTCCCTATACTTCAGAATTCTATCAACTAAACCTCTAGTTAAGACTGTGAGCAAGTCCAGTAATCAGTTGTTACTAAGCAAACACTTTATCTTGCTAATCTAAAGCTTTCTTCCACTGATCAATCTGCTTCCTTTCCAATTACCAGAAAGAGAAGCTGCGAAAGTTGAAGGTTTTGAAGTTGGAGTCCAAAAGCCAAGTTATTATGTTCGACTAGGATCTCTGTCTTCAAAGTTCCGTGCACGTGCCTACCAACAAGCCTTAAACAAAGTGAGAGATGCTAAACAAAAAGGCCAGGAGACAATTTCTCAGCTGCACAACACTGTTAGTCTGGTAAGTTTAAGCTTTTGCTTTAAGTGTGAAATGCTGCAAATGTTGGTATAGGGTTAGAGTACTGAGAAAAAGTGACATGGGAAAATAGGATTGCTCCCTGATTAAATGCATTTTCAAAATATTAAGAACATCATACTTGGTGCTTTTCACAACCAGATAGGAGAGATCCTACGTCAAAGTGATCTGCAAACAAACTACCAGTTCCTTTTAATTTTGAACACTGCAGAAATAGAAATAACATGTTAAAAAAGGTATTAATGTTCTGATACAACTTAGCGAAGATAATGTCTTGCAATTTGGAAACACTTTAGTGTGCTTTAACTAATTCTTCTATGCTAAAAAAAAAAGTAGGATGCTTCACTTGCTTTTCTTGCTGTGGGTGTTTAAGCATTTCTGGGTACTTCAGTAATCTGATATACATACCTTATGTACAACAGGAATTGTACATAAAGTTGTGGCCTTCTATGTACTTCCAATTCCTTTGTGTAGGAAGCTAGTTGGGGGAGTGTAAAATAGTTCAGGTAGATAGAGAAGTAAACTGCTTCTAGTTTTCTCTTTGAAGATAAGCAATGTGCTACATTCCCCAAAGTCACTTATCCTAAACTTCAGATGCTTAAAGGGTTACAAAGCCCTAATGAAACTGTTTTGGACTCTTTCTTTACTTCCTTGTTTGACTGTATTTCAGATCGAGTATGCCAGAAAGAACATGAATAGTGCCAATCAGAAACTTCTTGGTGCTCAGGAAAAGCTTTATCAATCCTGGGTAGAATGGAAGAAAAATACAGGTCAAAATGATGGTGATGAATCGCATAGTGCTGAGGTAAATAGATGTAAATCTAAACTAGAAATAAATGCATTGCATATTGTCAAGGTGATATTGGGCAAGATAACAGTCTGTGTAGTGCACAGAATACTTATGAGCAAATGTGGACTCTGAGTGCTGAAGCCCAGGACAACTGCTAGTGATTACTATGAAATGTAGGAGACATCCTGATTCATAAACTAGCCTACTTTTCTGCAAGCACTACTGGATTCATTGTCTTTTCAAAAGAGTAGTCATCCTGCTCAACATATGAGCTTGTTTAGATATCTGTACCTAGATAGCTGGGATTCCCTTATATGGCCAGACCAGAAATAGCAGTTTGTAAGTATAAAGCGGTTTGAGGAATAGTCATATGTAGCTTTGAACAGTGGCTCATTGACTAGAATATATTTACTTGCTATCACTTCTTATCCAGAGATGAAACAAGAGATTGCTTATCTTTGCTAGGAAGAAGCTGTCAGTGTTTCTGTTCCACAAAGTACTTGAACATTAAAAAATCAAGTACTTTCAAGTTATCTCTGACTCTTTGTTCTTAAACATTATTACATTATCTTCTACATCTTTTGCCCTTTTTGTTCTCCCTTGTCTCTTGAGCAACATGAAGCTAGTTATAGTCGTTAAAAATATACTGATGGGCTGTCATGCTTTTATTTCTAGCACATTGAGTCAAGAACTCTAGCTATTGCGCAGAGTCTCACTCAGCAGCTTCAGACCACCTGCCTCACACTGGTTACGAGCATACAGGGGCTGCCACAGAGTGTGCAGGATCAGGTTTACAGTGTTCGCTCAATGGCTGGTGATGTCTACGAAATCTTCCGATCAGCATCCTCCTTCCAGGAACTATCAGACAGCTTTCTTACTACTAGCAAAGGACAGCTGAAGAAAATGAAGGAGTCTCTGGATGATGTGATGGATTATCTTGTTAACAACACACCGCTCAACTGGCTGGTAGGTCCCTTTTACCCACAACTGCCTGGCCCTCAGCATGCTGAGAACGAAGGTGAAGGGGAGAAAAATTCCAGCCAGAAAGACAAACAGCTTGAACGCAATATTGAATAAATTGCACAGCATGTGTGTACCCTGCAGACTGGCCAAACAAGTGATGTTTAACAACTGTAGCTGTCAAAAAGTCTTGGAGAAAAAACATGGAGTGGTGAGAAGAGACTCTCCCACAAATGAGTTGTAAAGCTATTCTAAAACAGACATGATTAAGTGCCTAAAAATTGGCAGCTTACAGTTGTCAGGATGCCTTGTTTGTCTGTAAAGTCAAGAAACCTCACCTTGCTTATTAATGGTACTAATCGTTTTATTCTAAATTAGATAAATTGCAATTAAAAGCATTTCATTTGTTGTTTAATTTCTTATCAGAATAATCTCAGAATGGCTTGGGTTGGAAAGGTCTTCAAGGATCATCAGGTTGCAAGCCCCTTGCTGCTGGAAGGGTTGCCAACAGTTAGGTCAAGCACCAGGTGAGGTTGCAGGGTCCTATCCAGCCTGGCCTTGAATGCCTGCAGGGACGGGCCACCCACAACCTCTGGACAGCCTGTTCCAGGGCCTCACCTACCCTCTAAGCAGAAAAACTTCCCCTGACATCTAATCTAAGTCTTCCTTCCTTTAGTTTGAAACCATTCCCCCTTCTCCTATCACTATCTGCCAATGTTTTTTTTTTTTTTTTTTTTTTTTAAAAAAAAAGAGTTAAAATATCTCTTCTGTTTGTAATTCCCCTTTAAGTATAACAAAGTCTCCCCACAGCTGCAGGCCCAGCTCCTTCAGCCTGTCTCCATATTAGAGGTACACCTTCTGATCATCCTTGTGGCTCTCCTCCAGACCCTCTCCAAAAGCTCAGTATCTTCTCTGTGCTGGTGGCCCCGGACCTGGATGCAGTATTCCAGATGGGACCTCGTAAGGGTGGAGTAGAGAGGGATGCTCACCTCCCTCAACCAGCTGGCTTCTCTTCTGATGTAGCCCAGGGTACTGTTGGCCTTCAAGTGCTTGCTGTTGGCTCACATCAAATTTCTCATCTACCAGGACCCCTCAATCTTTCTTGGCAGGGTTACTCTCAAGAAGTTCTCCCGGACTGTACTCATATCTGGGATTGCTTTATTATACTTTAAGTTCACAGGGGCTTGCCTTTCAAGTTTATCAAAGTCCCTCTGGATGGCATCCCTTCATTCTACCATATCAACTGCACCACTCAGCTTGGTGCCATCTGCAAACTTGCTGAGGGTGCACTACATCCAGTCATCTGTGTCACTGATAAAGTCTTTAATAGGTACTTGTCCCAAGACAGACCCCTGGGGAATGCCACTCATTGCTGGCCTCCACCTGGACACAGAGCCATTGACCATAACCTTCTAGCTGTGGCCTTCCACCCGAGTCCTTATCTACCAAATAGTCCATCCTTCAAAATTTAGAGATAAGGATGTGCTGGGAAAGAAAGAAACCCAGCATGTAATAGCCTTACGTGCTATGAAATGCATTTAAAAGCTTTGCATTTTAGCTAAGTGTACTTAAATTCTGTATTTGCTGCAGATTATGCGTTTGATTATTATTTTGTATCTGGCTATCTTAAATGAACTGCTACCTAATTCATGAAAATACGTGCAGAAATCCATAGCAGGAAGTGGGGTTTCTGACTGAGTCAGCTTGAGTTACTTAAATGCTGTGCCATTGTTCTTACTAACAGTACAATTGTATTACACAGCAACTTGACTAAATCATTATCAAAGTGTATTTTTCATAACATAGTATAAAGACAAGATTCATGCTGTTTGTACCCAGCTGCCTGCTGTTGTATGTTTTTTTTGTAGCCAACTTTTTGTAATTCATTTTGTACTTTAGTAATAAATGCTTCAGCAGCCAAAGTCTGTCTCCATTTGAATGGTGTGCAAAACTTGTAACTTGCTGTTCTGTGACTCTTTCAAGCTGGGTCTGAGAGAAAGCAAGCTTGCAATGCAAAAGTAGACATTAAAAATGTGTTTGTGTGTGTCTGTGTGTATAGATAAGTAACATCTTCCTTCCTCCTTTTGAGTTCTTGTGTACCCTTCCATTCAGTCTTTGCTTTATTGTTGCTTTTTTTTGGTGTTTACTGTTAATGATCTCAGCTGTGAACTTGCAGATGGTCTTACACTGACTAAAAAGGATATAGGCAAAAGTCAACATTCTCTTCCCTTTAAGTGTTCTCTGAGTATGAAACTCCCAGCTACCTGCTTTGGCTGCTGGCTCCCTGTAGCCAGTATAAATTATTTCTTTAATTTTATGTATGCTCTTTTGAACTTGACTGATACGAATTTAACACTCCAGATTTTGGAGTTGTTCACCAGTAAGTCTTGTGATTCCTTGCTCTGCAAGGGAATTACTGTAACTCAGAAATAAGATGCCATGGTTTAGAGCTCTCCAGATAAATCTAGCGCTCTGTGCATTGCAATCATTTAATGTAGCAGCAATGGTCTTGGTTTCGAAGAGGTCATCAAGTAGAGTGATGCAAAGCTGGAGTTCCCTGTCAAAGGGAAGCCTGTCCCCTAGTCAAAGACGCAGTTAGGTGGCATGTTTATACATGGACCAGTGCCTCCTTCCTGGTATGGTTGTGAGCACTAGAACAAGTTATATACATTCTGGCCTTCTTATGGGAGTGGATTAAAACTTTTGGAATTTTAAAAAAATATAATAAAATTGTAATGATAGAGGACTATAGATCAGGATTCTAGAATTTTCAGCCTTAAATACTTGTTTTTTGCATAAGGGGTTTTTAAGTGTAAGTTAATATGAGGCAGCAAAATATCTTTCCATCTAGAACCTGAGTTAAGCCTCTTGTAATTCTTTCAGCAATTAATTCTGTTTTAAGTACTGACCAAGTTCTTTTTAATCTCTGTAATAAGAGTTATAGGATGCACCCTTTGTAGCAATGCTTTGAAGGAGAGCAGGGCTGATCAGGTTTGCAAGCAGCTGTTTATTCAATGAAGGGAATCTCCATTTTTATGCATATTTTTTAAAGCTCAGGTATTGCTACGGACCTTCAAACTGAAAAGAGGAATCAAATAAGATATATAAATGGCTCACTGTCTGAAGAGTGAGAAATAAACAGCAGTAATTGATATTACTGCAACAGTAAGAGCTTTCTGTCTGCCTTAAGTTGCACTCAGGATCGTACTCTTTTAGAGGGTTATCTAGCCTTACTAATGACCAGCAAGAAGACAAAAATAGAAAGCAAAGAAATAATTTCCCTGTCAAGTCCTGAGAAACGTTCATCTCACTGTGTATTATTGTGTGGCTTCTGTGTAAGTTATTTTGACTTTTTACAGCTGAGCTACAGCTAGTGTCCACAAACAGAGGAATGACTGGTTAAATATTTATGTAACGGCTGAGCTGACAGTATGTTGTGCCAAAACACTGCACAAAAACTTGATATCATTCTACTGTGGTTTCTTTTTTAACCTGCTTACAAAGCAAGTGTACAGAATATTAAGGAATTAGGAACCTTGGTTGGTGGAAGAGAAGGCTAAGTAATGGTGAATTAATATGATCCTGATTTATTATATCAAATGCAAGTCCTTGGATTTAAATTACTAGATTTTTCCTAATGAGGAATGCACTGGATGCTTGAACTGAACTGCAACACTAACTTGTGTGGATATGTTCTTGCTGGTAATCTTAGATGGTTTATCCTTGGACTATATTAATTACAATACTCAATAAAATTTTCTGCCTTTTTCTAGCACAGCCTGAAAGAATGTCTGCTAAAATGCCCACTAGAGTTAAGGATGACTTCGATATCTTCCAAAGTCATAGGTTTTTTGCAGCAGTATATGAAAACCTATGGACTGAAAATGATTAACGTTCTAATAACTGCTGAAAACTCAAATGGAAGGAGAAAAGCCTAAAATATGAACAAGAGCCTGCTCGTAAATTTTCCCTGTAATTTTACTAGTTTCTTAATTATTGCATATATCAAACAGTTCAGATACACTACACAGAAACTTAGAATCATCAACTTAGTATACTTTTAGTTCAAAAAACACGAGGGTTTTGTTTGGGCTACAGAGCTCTGACATTTTACAGAACCATGGAATTGCTTGAGTTGGAAGAGACCTTGGAATCTTGTTCCATTCATGCTAGTTGAAACTTCCCTTTTCACTTGCCATTGTTGCTTATCATCATTGGCTGAAAAGTATTAAATACAAACATTCATAAAAAAAAACTCCCCATAGTATGAAAGCTTCACAAGCATGTCCATAGCAGCACACATATTGGCAAAAACCACATTAAAAGATTTGTGTAAGCAAAAGACTTGCTGCTGGGCCCCAGCTAGTTTGCCTCAAACTGGAGGAAATTAAAAAAAAAAAAAAAAAAGTGGAAAGCTCTTGAAATCTCTTTAATTCTGTAGATATGACTAGTATTTTCTAAACTGAAGCTTACCGTAATACTATGGAGCTAGTGAAATAGTGAAAGAATTTAGGAACAACTGATAGATCATTTCTGCATTTTAAAAATAAACAGCTCTTCAGTCAAAAGAAAAAAAAAATCTCAAACCATCCAAGATAACGTTCCTCTAAGGCAGCTGATTTTTAAAAAGAGAAATAAAAACAGAAAGTTGAACTTAATTTTGTTAGTTTTTGAGCATGATATGTTCTTTATTTGCATAATCAGCAAATATTCAACGTATGGCTTGTTGGTGGTGTTGTGCAGTGCTTTGTTCAAGTTTTGTTAAGTTACTTGGACTGAAAATAGATCTCTTTTGAATACTACAATCTCTGATGACTAAAGACAAGTTCTTGTTTTGAAAGCAAACAAAGTAAGAATTACCTCTCAAATTGCTTGTGACTCAGCTCTAAAAAAAAAAAAAAAAATAGCAAGAAAAAGGAGATATGAGTTCAAAATTAAGTTAATGTTGACATTAACTTTTGGTTTGTAAGAGAGCAAAACTGCTGATGTATGTTTTGCATAATTTCATACAAGTTTTCTGTAAGCTTTGTGCTAGTCCATATAAGAAGATCTAACAACCTTATGGAGGAGTGGTATGAAGAAGGGTCCTATCTGATCTCATTCTCTGTTGCATACATTGACTTACTAGTTTGTTCCAACTTCTTATCAACTATGAAATGAGAGTATAACTAAACACAAAAGTGATATAAAAGTGAAGGTCTTTTACCTAAGCAAGCCTAAAACATCAGGAATTTGCACCGCTTTGGCTACACTGATGCAGGTAGTAATGTGTTTTCTTTTAAAAGAATGTAGCATGTTCAAAACTTAGATGAATAATACTGAGACAAACCCTGTTTTGCTCAGGTGCACCAGTACATTCCAGTTCAAAATTGCTTTGTGGATGTGAACATCTTACGTTAATGGGGTTAACTACATTAACTTACAGCATATGTGCTAAGGAAATTAAGAAAACACCAACTTCAGTCAGAGAGGTTGATCACCCTATGATCAATAGGATCAACATGGTCAGAAATAATAGAAATATCCTGTTCCTAACTTACAGAGAAAATTATCACTGATCAGACAGTTACTGAGCATGGTGACGTGCCCTACTCATTCCAAATACAGAATTGTGGAGTA